GATAATAATGAAGACGGTAATAGCAAAAAAATTCGAAGTGTGCGTATTATAATTAGTAATTACGTATTCGTGCACTGGGGATATCTACTATTTTTCGAAACTGAAGAAAATATACATGACTAGGTGTTACGTTGCGAGCTCGTAACGAACCAAATCATTATGCAAGTTCCGATCACGCTTGTCGTGAGCAACGCTGAATAATAAAGGTGGAGTTGACCAGAATGGACAATTTGCTATCTGTTAGCTTAATTGGTTGCGCTCACATAATTGATTAGTTAAAATCGAAAGTTTTAATTCGCTGGAACGTATGGTCAGAAGAAATGTTTATTATTGTGGTGGTATTTGTCTACATTTGTTTGGGCTTGCCCGATTCTACGGACGTAGTACTGCAAAAATCATCTACCTGTAATAGATATTCCATCACTGAGTATTTTTATCGATATTTCAACCTTTCTCGTTACTGAGACCTCTATTATAAGAATTTGTCAAGCTTTTGGCCTCTAACACAGCTTCTTCCATGTCTGAAGGAAGTTTTTCTTCATTAAATTCGTTTTCGCACATTTCTACTGTTTATAGACCAAGGTCGATAATTTTTTAAACCAAAAAAAATTGTAGTAGGATGAAACCCATTGGAAAAGAAAGGGAATATAACAGAAATGAAAGGAAAAATAATTTACGGGCGATCTGACGTCAGGAAGGGGAAGGGGGTGAGTTTTTAAGGGTAAAAAGCAGTTTCCCTTGATTTCCGGGAAAACTATAAATCTTGTAGGTAATAAAAAAATTTACAACTTTTGTATTTACACTTTTTTCACATAACCTCAAAATTTATGTGAAAAATTCAAATAACCAAGTTTTTGGTTTTTTATTTTTGTCTTTTACAAACAAATTTTTTTTTCACGAAATTTGGTGAAAACTTACCTATTTATGTCCCAAACACGCTGTAAATTTTTTGATTTGAAATATTTATTTTTTCACCTTATTTTTACTTAATATCGAAAAAGCACCCTAATTTTCAATCGAAAATTCTCACGTCAAAATATCTGCTTTTTTAAAAACGTCGGTGGGCTTTTTCTTCGTTGAAATCTCTACTTTCTGATGGTAAAAAAAAATATACATTACTATGGTAAGTTTTCTCAGGAAATGCAAAGAAACGAAAGAAGATTCTACAACTTTCTCAAAATATTGTAGATGTCTTATTAAATATTAACTTTATTAACTTATTTGGTTGTTAATTATAATAGTATATTTCGACTTGTAATTTTTTTGTTTATCAATGTAACATGGAATCTTACGTTTTTCGAGTAATTAAAGTGTAAATTTTAATAAATAGCTCAAAATTGTACATAATGATTAGAAAAAAATTTTCGGATTCTAGTTCGTTTCTTTGCATTTCCTGAGAAAACTTACCATAGTAATGTATATATTTTTTTACACCATCAGAAAGTAGAGATTTCAACGAAGAAAAAGCCCACCGACGTTTTTAAAAAAGCAGATATTTTGACGTGAGAATTTTCGATTGAAAATTAGGGTGCTTTTTCGATATTAAGTAAAAATAAGGTGAAAAAATAAATATTTCAAATCAAAAAAATTACAGCGTGTTTGGGACATAAATAGGTAAGTTTTCACCAAATTTCGTGAAAAAAAAATTTGTTTGTAAAAGATAAAAATAAAAAACCAAAAACTTGGTTATTTGAATTTTTCACATAAATTTTGAGGTTATGTGAAAAAAGTGTAAATACAAAAGTTGTAGATCTTTTTATTACCTACAACTTTGCCATTTAACTTTTTTCCATAAGACTTGTAGTTTTTCCGGAAATCAAGATAAACCGTTTTTTACCCTTAAAAACTCACCCCCTTCCCCTTCCCGACCTCAGATCGCCCGTAAATTATTTTTCCTTTCATTTCTGTTATATTCTCTTCCTTTTCCAATGGGTTTCATCCTACTATAATTTTTTTTCACTTTTTACCATTTTTGAAGGCTTTTAAGCACTGGTGTCTATTACTTTACTTTATGCTGGACAAACAAGGCGACACAAAGCAGAGCTGGTAGAGCAGCATAAGACAATAGTTGTTTATTCCGTTGCCATGCATTGTATATACCTAGCAACCGCAATTACCCACTGAGATTTTAGTGACTCAATTAGTAATTAATTGTTTAATGTTTTAGAAAATATATTATTGATTCACTTGTCGATAAAATAATATTCTATCTATCCTCTAATAAATGTAATAACGTAACTATTAAATGGAATTTGTTGAGCTACAAGCTACAACTCAAGTTTAATTCGACGCGTGTGTATTAAATTAACATGATTTAAATATTCAGAACAGTAGTAAACATGCGTTTAATAATAATAATAATAATAATAATAATAATAACTTTATTTCGTGTATGCCATACAGGGTACGAAACGTCACAGGTAGATAAAATTTGATTTACAGAAAATTACATAAAAAGTAAATTTCAAACAAACAAGTTAAAATGTTAAAAATACAATTTTACATACATAGAATGGATCGAGACTTATAATACATTATATATACATATATACATATATACATACATATATACATACACACATACATATACACACACATACACATATACACACACACATATAAACGGTGAGATAGTACAAATCAGTAGCGTGCGTCTAAAAATTCATTTAGGGAATAAAAACTGTTGTCATAAAGGAACTCCAAAAATTCTTTTCTAAATTTAGTGAGACAAGTTATATTTTTTATTTGTTGCGGCAATTTGTTGTAGACTGTGCTACTCGCATAATATGGACTTTTCTTAAAAAGAGATAGTCTATAGTTGTCAACGTAAATATTGGATGCAGATCTAGTATCATGACTGTGAATACAGCTGCAGGACGGGAACAAATTTAAATGATTTTTCACAAACATACCTGCTTCATAAATGAAAATGGACGCAACTGTTAATATTTTATTTGTTTTAAATAATGGTCGACATGAATCATGTGGCTGATACGAAAAAATTAACCTTAATATTCTTTTTTGTAATATAAAAACTCTATGGATATCCCTCGATTGACCCCAATACAGGATCAAATATTTTAGATGTGAGTATACTAATGCATAATAGATATTTAGTAGATATTTTTTTTCAACAATGGACTTAAGATTTCGAATAACATAATATGAGGAATTTAGTTTCTTTAAAACGTATTCAATGTGTTTAGACCAAGATAAATTTTCATCTATGTGCAGTCCGAGAAACTTAGTGTGAGATACATTTTCAAGCGTAACATTCTCTATCGTTAATGTAAAATTTAATTGGGACAATAAACGTTCTTTACGAAACATAATATACTTAGTTTTACTAACATTAATAATCAGTCTATTTGATATACACCAAGCATGAAAGTTTGCAAGCACTGCATTCGCAATATTTTGCAGTAAAGCAGCTGAGTCAGATTTTAGACAGATGGTAGTATCATCAGCAAACATTACCAAAAATATGTTTTTTGAAAGTGATATATTGGCTTCTAAGTCATTTATAAATAAAATAAATAACAATGGCGATAAAACGCTTCCCTGTGGTACTCCTAAGTTAAGGCTGTTTATTGAGGAGTTAATGTTACCTAACTTTACAGAAATTTTTCTGTTATATAAAAAAGATTTTACCCACTTATTGAGATTTCCTCTGATGCCTACGGTTTCTAGCTTTCTTGATATGAAGTCGCTTAATACGCAGTCAAACGCCCGTGTTAGATCAAAAAATAAAGCTACAACGTGTTCTTTATTGTCAATAGCAGTATATATAAAATTTGTAAAATCATATGCAGCAGTATTTGTAGAAAATTTTGGTCTAAATCCATGTTGTTGGGTAGATAATAGTTTAAAGCTGTTGACAAAGCTTAAAATTCTGTTATGCACGATTTTTTCGAAGAGTTTAGAAAAACAAGATAATAACGCTATCGGACGATAATTTTCAATTTGTTCTGTATTCCCCTTCTTATGTAGTGGTACTATTAAGGCTTGTTTTAATCCGTCTGGGAAAACACCTGATTTGATGGACAAGTTGAAAATAAAACTTAGTTTACGATCCAACAGAGCTCGCACTTCCAATGGATTGTTATTAAAAACGCTTCCTTACCGGACGACTTACATTATCATACTTGTGACTAATTACACGACTGACAATGAGTCACGCTGCTATTATGTTTACTAAATTAACATAAACAAAGTTAAACGTATTGCGAAGCTCGGTATCCGTAAATGTTTTACAGCGACACAGTTTTATGGATTATATTCGAAAGACGTAGTTTCTTTGATTTTTATGTGGAATTCTATGTATTCTAGCTTTTTATTGACAGATTTTTTTTAAAAATTCACTTTGTAGACGATAAAAGAGCAAACAAGAGTCTGAGTATCATGTCGGCTTTGTTCCGGGTGCTATGATTTAGCAGACGATGGTCTTCAACATAGTAATAATCACTATACAACTAAATACACAAAATACAACTAAAGTTGCATAAAATGTAACAAAAAACAAACGCGAAAAATATTTATAGATAACCGAAAACAAATTTTTAATATAAATACATTTGACATTTGAGGTTATGAATTCTGTTTGTTTTCCCTGCGAACCAGTAGTCACGCCTACTTGGTGACTTGACGCATATTATGTCCTGTGTAAGGCAATCAAATTTTCTAAGATTGTTTGATGTTTGGCGTTTGTTTTTTAAATTGTCGATTTTGATATCAGAACGAAAATACAGATTTTATTATGCTGTTCCACAGTTTTAAAAAAAAAACTATAGAACAGGAAGGTAAAAAGAAAAAATTGTATGTAGTCCAAAGAAATGCGAGTAACTTTTTTACATATTGCAACCAATGCCTAATTTCCGAAACTAATTTTGCGTTGCGATGTTGCGATTCCACTCTGACGAAAATGAAATGTCGCCGATATCGACCTCTCCACGCCTTTATTTTGCTTTTGCAAATAATTCACGCCAATTTTCTTGTTACAGATCAACACACCCAGCTGTTAACGGGACTCGTAGCAGTTTTATTGACGGTTTGCAGCGTCGTGCTCCTGGCAGGTTGCCTATGTTGCCAGCGTAGAAATGGATTTAAGGTAATTAATTTCGACCTGTCCGTTGTCGACGTCCGCGCAATTTTTTTTTTGTGGGGAACCTTGATATTAAAAATAACTTTTATCGATATCGCGGCGGTGAATTAGGTTAGGTATTTGGCAGATAAAATGCACGTTTCTTATGTCACGAGACTATATAAGATTATCCAAGAATTATCCGCAATTGTCATTTCTCTAATTCGTTTTTGTTATTTAAAAATGAATTGTTTCGGCTCCAAACCATTAATTTTTCCATAATCTGTACATCATTTAAAAAATATACCGGAAAGCTTAGTCCAGTGATTATTGTAGATATGAAACAACCTGTTTCTGGAAAAAATACTATTAGGAGTTTATCTGCGGAATTTTGTTCGGAAACGTGTTATAAACAAACTATCAAAAAGTCAACTCGAGGCTAGTTGGGAAACTTTGTTTAAACAATGGTCAAAGTTATGGAAGAGTGGTTTTTTGACTCGCGTGAAAAAACTATTATTCATAGCGAAAAAAAGTTTATACAAAAAAGGTAGGTATTAAATAAGCCTATAAAATGAGACAAGTCCGATTAAATTCCGATAATTTGTTTATGCGCAAGAGCTCAAAAATGGTCGAAAATGGCAGTTTTTTTCCACTGCTAATAATTAATGCAATTTTCGTCACAGACACATGTAATTCAAGATTTTTTAAGCTCTTTGCACTCTTAAGAAGTGGTAAAAATGTCAGCCCGAAAGCTTCATTAGTTTGGCGTTGGCGGAATTTGTTATCTAAGAAGATGCTATTTTCAATTGATTTTTCCCAAGCTCAAAGGCGTTGTAGAGTTTCGATCATTAGTTGTTTTTGTACCTAAATAGTTGTATTGACATATGCATTTACTGANTAGTAAACGTATTATTGTTGTCCTCGTTATCCATTGCCGATTTAGTTAAAACAATAACTTAAAAAATAAGAAACGTCTTTAATAAACACTTAACGTCTAAACAGTAGAAGCGCGATCTTTTTGACACAACTTAGCAGCAATTCACCCGCAAGCCAAAAGCGTACTGACACTGACACTGACTGACACTCCGCAGGTGCCGTACGGAGTGCGGACTAGGTCAATGTTTTTTGCGCTATGTTAAACAGGACCGGCATTAACATTTTGTCACTTCTTGTAATTTTTTTGGAAAATATTTTTGACACTTAAATCTCATAATCGCCTTATGGTAGCATATATTATTTTACTTCATTTATTGTCAAGAGGTTTTTAATTTTCTGCATTAAAGACGCCACACCCTGTATATAAAACACGAAATCTGATAAAATGAACACACTTTCTGACTAAATGGAAGATTCGGAAAAAGATTCTCATGTTTTCAATTCTCAATGTTTTTAAATATACTACAAAAATGTTCTTTTGCTGCACAAGTTTGATACAGCCCATTTTCATCTTATCAAGATAAATCTCTCAAATTTTCCTATAATACGCAAAAAATAATAAACAAATCAGTGCCTTTGGCGACAGAATTAAAATTAAATGCAATCCATTTACAGATTTCTTCATTTATGTTCTAAGAATATGTTCTTGGTTTTTGGCTCACTTACAAAGCATGATTTCGAAAAATAACTTAATTTTTGAAAATGTTAATTTTTCCAATTTTTGAAAAAAATCAATTTTTTCACTGTAACTTAAAAATTAAAGAGTGCACGAAAAAATACAAGGGTAAAAAATTTAGCTTTATCTTTGCTGAAGATTTTGCTTTTTTTTATTATTCCTATAAAATTAATATTAATAGAGATATCGCCATTTTAAGTTATTATATAAATGAGAGAATCACCCTTTTCGAGCCCTTTAAACCCTTCAAACTTAAAAATGAATGGCTTAAAAAATATCAACTCAACAGTTCACGTAGCCCTTACAATTCCCTGCAAAATGAGCCTTTGTGCGATTAAAAATCTTAAAAAGTAAGAAAGTTATCGTCAAAAAAATAAACACTGTATAGGTGATAATTTTAGAAAAATATACGAATGCACATTTAAAGTGTTTCTACTCCTTCAATAATATTTTTTTATTTTCGAAAGACGGGGTATTTTTCAAGGGTCGAAAAGTTGTCATCGATAAAAAAGATTTTTTAATCAAGAAATTATATTATTTTCATCCAAAGGGGTGGTTTTTAAAGGTTTTTCCGGGTTGAAAATTTGAGATAACATGTTGGATAGAACATGAAATTTCTGATACTGCATAAACAGAAAAGATTTGATTACATAAAATGCTTAAATTTGTATTTTTCTTTTTTTTTCCAATAAGGGATGGTTTTCACCCCTCAAAAACAAAAGGCACACCTAGCGCATATATATGTTTTGAAGTGGGGGGTAAGATGAGCCTAATTCTAAATTTTGAGAAAAATCGGTGCAGTTATAAAAAATTCAGAGGTATTACTATATTTTCAGCTACAGTAACTGGGCTGAAAGTACTAAATCTATACCTAATTATTGTAAGTTGAATATCCTATAATATGGCAACATTGCATCGTAGTGTTTACTACAGTCCTAGCGGTGCGGTGTTTAAAATTTCTTCTAATTTGAGAATAATCTTGTCGAATTTTATCTGCATTTGTGTGCCGATCATAATTCACGTTATTTGAAATTGAAATAAATATTAAAAAAGTCATCCTGATCAGGGATCGAACCCACTACCTCTCGCACGAATGGCAAACGCGTAACGCTTTGCACCACTGATCCATCTTCTTGAAATGTTCAAGTCATTGCTTATATAGGTAGGTATATTTTGAAATACCTAATTTGTAATTACATAATATGTTATAGTATAAAAATTATAACATCATGTAAACAAATTAACTGTATATTGAATAAATAGATAATGAATCTAAAAAAGAAGGTGATACAATTTTTGCTACTGTTTCCAAATTGCAAGAAATTTGGGACAGGACGCTGCCTGAAGAGTGCGTGGTAGATATAGGTAATACCTGTCAGAATTAAAACTGTTGTTATTTGTTCAACCTTGTATAACCGTATTAACTTACCAAATAGTACATTATTATGTCATTTCTAAATATAAATGTTTGCTGTTATGCACACAATGGAATAATTTCATGCAGTTTTTATCGTCTTTGGACAGTGCGGATTAAAGCAGACACTTTAACAATTAACATTGATTTACTTTTGTATTTTTGAACGACTCGATATACAGGGTGTGAATACTTATACCCCTATAAAGAAATGTTTAATTAAAAATTATATAACCATTTGGTAAAACCTTTAAAGGCCACAATTACTTTACAATAAAAAAATTCGTATTCATTCATTATAGCAGGTATAAAAGGTATGTTCAGCGCGATTTTTCAAATGGTTGGTTTTCTGAAAGTATGCATATGCATAATCCATTAAAGTTTTACTTCATCCGGATGTACCAGTAGGAGTACTTTTTTTTAAGATTCATTAAGGTATAAAATGCACGAATTGTATATTTTTTGTAATAAGTTACATCAAAAAAAGATGAATATATCTATTATAAGGACTTGCCTGTCATATGCTACCTAAGAATTAAGTTTTGTATGTTTCTAATTGTAAGTGCCTCCTTCCAAATTTATATTTCAAATAAATTATATAAAAACAGAATTATTATTTATTAAATTATTATATATTAGAAAATTTTGAATATTTTTGCAATTTTTCACGTACTTATACCTACAACCTACCTAGCTTTATTTCATTTTATAATAATTGCTTTTAATAATTTAATAAATATTAACATTTTTTCAAAGTACCTAAGTTTTAAACAAATTAAATTTGAAAAATGAAATTATTAGTAAATGCATATGTCAATACAACTATTTAGGTACAAAAACAACTAATGATCGAAACCCTACAACGCCTGTGAGCTTGGGAAAAATGAATTGAAAATAGCATCTTCTTAGATAACAAATTCCGCCAACGCCAAACCAATGAAGCTTTCGAGCTGAAATTTTTACCACTTATTAAGGGTGTAAAAAGCCTCAAAAATCCTGAATTACAAGTGTCTGCGATGAAAATTGCATTAATTATTAGCAATTGAAAAAAACGGCAATTTTCGACCATTTTTGAGCTCTTGTGCATAAACAAATTATCGGAATTTAATCGGACTTTTCTCATTTTATAGGCTTATTTAATACCTACCTTTTTTGTATAAACTTTTTTTCGCTATGAATAATAGTTTTTTTACGCGAGTCAAAAAACCACTTTTCCATAACTTTGACCATTGTTTAAACAAAGTTTCCCAACTAGCCTCGAGTTGATTTGTTGATATTTTGTTTATAACACGTTTCCGAACAATATTCCACAAAAAAACTTCTAATAGTATTTTTTTCCCGAAACCGGCTGTTTCATATCTATAATGACTGGACTAATACTAGTTATCTGTATTTTGGCCATAGTTAGAAACTTCCTTGTATGTTTTATTTTTAATGCAGGGAAATAATCAAAATAGCAGCGATAAAGTTTAAAAAAAAATCGTATAATCAAGTACAGAACTTTTCATTACTGGAGCACATATACATATGTGGTTATACTTTCCGTGATTAATTCGTTGGGTAAAAAATTTGTAAAAACGAAACGGGTTTAAGGAATCTCAAAAAAAAAAGATTTATCTAATTGTGAATTGTAGACGGCGATGTGAGGCTTTTTCATTGGAATCAATAGAATTTAATACATCTGACTTACTGGTCACAGTCTATTAATAACAGCGTTAAGTGACTGTCTCTGAGGATGGCAGCAAATCGTGATTGAATGGCGTCAAAAGTCAGGACTGTGCATCATCCCAACGTGTTGTAATAAATCAATAATCGGGGTCGGGTTACGACAAACACGCACGTGCGTGGGGGCCCGGTTTTCCAAGGGGGCGCGATTTTTCTGTGAATTGACTTAAAAAAAAACCTCTCATGCAAATTACCTCATTCCCCTTTCTCAGGTTGATGTATTTTGGATGTTCAGCATTTAGGCCCCATTTCCACGAAATTTCATTTGAAATTTTG